GCCTAATACTTTGCAAACATAAATTACTCCAGTATCTCCCCTTACCATTAATGTTAAACATTTACCACTGAGATACTACTAGGAGGTAGTATTTTGCAGTAAAATCCTAGTTTATTTATCCTCGGAAAATCTGTCATGGAATGTCCTGAAATGCCTGCCTTACATGAGACAAAACACCTGTGTAAACCAAGATAACTAAAATTAACCACACTCATTTTTTGCTATTCAATTTGCTCAGTAAATATGTAGCGTCTTGTAATAAAACAAACAAGATCAACATAGCCTTCTCATTAAATTGACAAACATGAAACATATATGTAAATGTGTATATGTGTATGTATGGGTGTGTATGTCCATACACACACACACACACACACACACATTCTCAAGGGGCAGCAAGAGCTATAAATGCTGCTGCAAAGTAAGGGAATAATGTTCAAGGAAGGGAAACATGATATAAACTGAGCATCCCATTATCAAAACTTAAAAAAAAAAATTAAGTACTAGATGATTATGCTAGAGATTAGATCAGGTAACTCATGCCTGATAAGTGCTTTAAAATCTAACCCTTAAAATCTAATATGCTCACCTTCAGAAAATCCTTAATGCACTACAGACCAAGATACAGAAAAAGTAATAAAAAAAAAAATGTTGACTATAATCAACGGGTATTCCCTGCTGGGATATAATGGACTGGCCAGCTTAAGCTGGTGAGCCTAAGCAGAAGGTGATAGTGACTAGCTATGCGAGAAAGATTTATGCGAATAAATCTTTAAGTTGTTTTTAAGAAGCGAATACCCAACTAAAGATGGTACTTCCCAGATGCCCCTTGCATATTAACACAGGAATGTACAATTTGTTTTCACCCTTGGAATGTGAGTTCCTGGTGTGATACTCTTGAGTGAAATTAGTTAAGCAGGTGGGTCTTTTTTCCCCAACCCCCAAATTCCAACTTCAAGTGAAGTCTTGTAACCCTGGGGTGGAATTCACATGCTGTAAGGCACCTGGGTCCTTCAGTCACACCATGTGGAAAGCTGCCTCAACATCCACATTGGTTCCTCGTAAAAACAAGAAACTTGTTTTCTTTTGCTACCAAAATTTTGATGTTACCTATTATAGCAATTGGTGTTATTTTAAGAGTATTTAATTGGGCTTTCAAAATGTTGAGCTGAGAGCAAGAGTCAGGTAGCACTCAATCTCTCATAAAATGGCATTTGCAAACTTTTTAAAAATAGTGTGATTCCCAGTTAGACACTTAGTCACCCTTGGTTGCCCATGCAGGTGCACAGAATTAACAGCATTTAGAGATTCTAAAGCAGCAGCAGAGGCTGCAGCAGTGGGATAAGGCTTTTCTCAAATAAATTCGAGTGAGACCATACAACCTTGAGCAGACTTCCAATAGAATCCGATTCCAATTTTAAGAATAGTTTGTTTCAGATTCCTCAGTGCATGTCAGAACCCACTTCCTCCCCACTCACATCCGTTAGATTCCTTCCCAGCCATTGTACTCACTCAACAGGGAGGTTGCAGCCATTCCAAGCTGCTCACGAGCAAGCATAGGGCTTAGAAGCACAAAACATGGTAGCTCTTAGAAGATAGGTTCAGAGGCTTTTTTTTTTTTTTTTTTTTTTTTTTTGTCTCCAGTATAGTACTAATCATTCCCTTTACTTCTCAACTCCCAGATGCCTATTTCCAACTATACTCAACAGATACATAAGTGGATGTGTATAAACTACACACATGAAAAGGGAATACTTCAAACTTCCTTCAAGCTTGAGGTCTAGTTGGATTTAAAGGTATACTTTATTAAAGTGGTAAGTTTTCTTTTTGCCATGGTAATTCATTAATCAGGCAACAATTTACTGAACTCAGAATTCTTGCTTAGCACTTCATCGGGAGAGGGAAAAGGACAAGGGAGTATGAGGAAAAATATTTAAAAGAGAAAGTTCTGGCATACACTGGACCAGCTTGGGAGGAAAAAAAAAGTAAAATGTAGCTGACCTCTTATATTACTCCTGATAACAACTTGTTAAAAACCCTTACCCTCTAAAAGGAATGATTTTCTGTTGTTTTGAGAATTTGATTGTCTGAATTCACCAGTAAAAGTTCCCTTTGAGAAACTTCTCTCTCTTCTGAGATCAATATAGAGGAAGAGTAGAATTTCCACAGCTTAATTCATCTTAAACTTGGAATTGGATTCTATAAGAAGTCTGCTTAGGGTTGTGTAGCTTTTGCTCAAAGTATATTCGGTGCAGTCTGATGAGTTGGGGTGTGTGGCAGCAGTAAGCCAAAGCAGCTGAAGTGCCTAAGAAGCTAGCAGAGGCTCAGCCAACATCCCTGGTTTTCAAAGAATCAACTATTTGCTCTAACCCATTTTTTTCCTGAGCTATACTTTAAACATGCATCCTGATATTATTTTGGTCAGGTCTACAGTAAGGTTTTCTAGTGTTATTTTAAAATAAAGCAATTTATGTATCAACCTTATCACCAGCCACTATCACAGCTCTCGGCAAAAGCCAGAAACAACACAGGTCACAGCAACTAGATCAAGAGCAGCATTTAACTTGACTGTCCAACTGACCTTGAAAGGAAGATCTAATGTCATTAGGAGCTCAAGAATGAAAAAAAGCAGCACTTACAAACAATCCCCATGACTTGGTCACATTAAAAACACAACTTCATTCATCATCAATATTTATTGGGCACCTATTATGTGCAAAGCACTATACTAGGCACTGGGCAAGATACAAAGATAAATCTGACAGACTGCCCTCAAAGAGCTTACAGTCTATATAGGAGCATACAGTCTCTGGAGAAGGTATTTTAGGTGTAATTAACCTCACCCATCCCACCCCCACCAGAAAAAGAAAAAAACCTACTAGACTTGGTTTCTTCCATTTACTTTTAGTTCAGCAGCTTCACATAAAAAGCATAAATCTGAGTCTTTTAAAATGCATACTTTTACTTGTAAACAAAATTGTCACTAGAAAAAATGCTGAATATTTATTGCGATTAAGAAAAATCCTCAGACGGGCATGGTGGCTCATGCCTGTAATCCTAGCACTTTAGGATGCCGAAACGGGTGGATCGCCTGAGGTCAGGAGTTCAAGACCAGCCTGGCCAACATAGCAAAACCCTGTCTCTACTAAAAATACAAACATTAGCCAGGCGTGGTGGTAGGTGCCTGTAATCCCAGCTATTCCAGAGGCTGAGGCAGGAGAATCACTTGTAACCTGGGTGGGGACGGAGGTTGCAGTTATCCGAGACTGCGCCAATTCACTCCAGCCTGGGCATAAGAGCAAAACTCCATCCTCCCCACCCCGCAAAAAAAAGAAAAGAAAAAGAAAAATCCTCAAACATATATTCAGTATTTTCATGAATTTGTTATGACTATATTGTGAAGTAAACAATTTCCCAGATTGCATCAGAAACATGCAACAACTTTTTGAAACAGATCTCTTTAAACTACTGGCAGTCACATGTAAGGTATACAGGCCTCTCTGCTAAAAGCAAGGAAAGCTTTGAAATGATTATGTTTGTTTACTACCCATGTTCACAGCTTATGTTTTTTTTTTTCCCCCATGAACCCACTTCATGTCAACACAAAGTATTATAAAATAATACCTCCATTGACATATACCCCCAAAATCCAAAGCTTTAGATCTCTAAGCTTCAGATAGGAAAAAAAAAAAAAAAAATAGTGAAAAATGTTCATTATCAATAGCTGGGCTTTAAGATTATCATCATAGAGATAAAGCCCAGCCATTAGCTATTAGAGATGATAATCTTAAAGCCCAGCTATTAATTGGCTGACCAGACCCACCAAATAACTGTAAAATAATTCCAGGAAAGGAAATTCAAAATAACCCACTTTCCTATTACACGCTTAGAAATTTCTGAAATTTTTTGTTATTTTCCTTTCAGAATAAAGAAACTAAATATAATCAATTAGGGGGATAAAAAACACTGATAAAGATGGTTGTCCAAGTTAAACTGTTAGAGAAAGGGATATGTGAGCACATGTTACATTAATTCATTTCTAACCATAATTACTTTTAAATAAGTGTCTTAACGTTATTCTCTTTTCTCAGAATCACTTCTGGGCTCATATATTTCTAATCATACTTAGTTTTGTATAAACCTAAGAAGCTTTGTGTGTTTGTAGAACGTTATGAGATTTCTTTAAAACACTGAGACTAAAGCAAATGAAATGGTTATCAAACTGAACACAAGTCAATTTTTTAAATGCAGAAACTGCACCAAAAATGTGTTCCTGAGACTGAGGGTCCTTATTCCCATGTTGAAGCATTCTTGTTCTGAGCAGTTTCCCTTAGTCAAGCGAACAAAAGACTTTATCTGCATTGTCCTAGTTGGACATTTTTACTTGTCTTCCTCATCAAACTCCCCCCCACCCCGCCAAAAAAAAAGGTGGGCTTGTCAAAAAAACTGTAAATCAAGTAAATTTCAACATTAATCTCTACCAGACTAACAGATCCACTCATCACAGAAGTATAATGAACTGTTAAACTGGTACCAGGTCTGGTTAAGACTGCAGGCTTACAGCGCATACCTTCTTTAAAGAAGACACACCCAGTTTTTAAGCTTTGACACCTGCACATTTTAAGTTTCCATGTCTAGTCTTTGTACAAAGTAAATGAGGTTAAATTTTCTGTGTAAAATCTAACAGAAATAAAGTAGATCAATGAGTTATGTGTTAGTCTTTCACTCATTTTCCTGTCTTCACATTACTAACATGCTTTTCTGTTCAATCTCTTTGCTGAACAAATTTTATAGCCTTGTATGGTGTAAAAGGACCACCATTGAAGTTAACTAGTCCAACTCTGTCATTTTACAGATAAAGAAACCAAGACCCAGAAAAGTTTAATGAAAAAGCTGGGAGCCAAGCACAATTTAGCATTCATGACACCTTTGACCTTTGTGCTGGTTTGAAAAACCCATACCCACATGCTTTTACATGAACTATACGACTCCGTACAATAGATGCTAAAATTAATGTAATTAGTGATGTATTTCATATAAAGTAAATATAACAAATGTTTGTTATTAAACTATTCTTAGAAAATATTAGCCCTTTTTGGTTACTGCTAACAGTGTAACTACAGTGTTTGGTCTTGCTTTTCTAAGGGTAACTGATTTGCAGTTGCTAATTTGAGGATGTTTATTTCTCCACAGCAGAAAAAAAAAAAATCATGTTAAATATGATCATGTATTCAATCATGTATTATGTATTGATTATTTTTACATATATGTAGATATCCTTATGCTTTTAATCTAAGTGAAATGAATTTACGCAGAGAATAAAATATTACCTCGATATAAGCTGGCAGCCTGAAAATTAGTCATTTCCATATAAAATGAGAGATCTTTTCTAGGAGTGATAGAAAGGGTTTCCAGGGTCACAAAAAAGATATCAGAAGGTTATAAGTGATAATTTATTAGTCTGCAATCTGAGGTATAAAAGAAAGGATGAGCTCAGAGAATTAGAAGATCTGAGTTCAAGTTTTAACTCCACTCCTTGCTCACTATGTAACGATTCAATAAACTTCTGGGTTTCAGTTTCTTCATCTGCAAAGAGCTAACACTTATACCACTTACCTTGTTAGATTATTAAGTATGACATACACTAAAGTATATGAGTGGTTTGTAAATGGAAAGCATACCACAATTATTATCCCAATAATTAAAATAGGGACCTACAAAAAGTCGTAAATAATTCACTTAGTGGCAGTAGACATGCTCACTAGAAGAAACATAACTCACGAGGATAAACCATGCAAACATTTTCAACTTTCAATGGCAATGCTTAAAAAATGTACAAAGCTATAAAGGAACATTTTTAGAGAAAGCACTGAAGACACACATTTGGTTGACCTAAAATATTTAAAAATGAATTAGATGATTTACAGCATATAAAGAGGTATTTAGTCTTTAAGTGGACAAAATTGCTAGTCACGTGTAAGAAAAACAAATATTATGGGCCTGCCTAAGACAAATGGAATAAAATTCCATTACTTTTGGCTTTTTTATAAACCAGACTTCCAACAAGTAACCATATTAATTTACCAGTATTCAAACATATCCTTAAAAAGATAAAAGAGAATATCTAGTTTTAAATCACATCCAATGTGAACTTGCATGAATGCAAGGCATAAAATACTGAGTTATTATGACTCTATAGGCAACTGAAAGTTTCAACTACCCTTCATGCTCACTTTATATTCCATAAAAAGTAACAGAAATACAGGGAATACTTCAAATATGTATTTTTTACAATCCTTTTTATGTAGTTCTTATTCTTGTAAGATTATACTTCACTGTGACAGCCTTGGTTTCTGTTTTGTTTGTAAAATTAAGTAGCCCATTAACCTTTCCCTTCAAACAGGCCTTTTGATGTTAGGTCTTATACCGAAAAAAACAAAACAACAACAACGAAAAAACTAACAACAAATGAAGATGCAAGGGAAGAGATAAATGAGATATAATTCATTAAGTATAAAAATATGTTGTTTCAAATTCAGAATAATTTAGTAACTCTTCGTTATTTCATATGTATCTGGAAATGGGACAGATACGTGTCCTGATCCTGTCACAAGAGGTAGAATTCCAGCATTTGGTACGACATTCCAAGACAGGGTCAAAGTGACATTCCTGTTTCCCCTATAAAAAGACATAATAAACACAAGTCATCAGAAATTCTAGTGGTTCAAAAAAAAATTTTTTAAGCCAAACACTGAAATGTCAAATACTTTTATTTATAACCATATATTCCTACAGAAATCCTAATATGTTAATTTGCAAGAACTATTTTCTTGCATCACCTAAAATCCAAGGACAATGCTAGAAGACACGGTATTACATTTACTGATACCATGATGACCCATCTAAACTCACAGCTGCAGTTAATAGAACTATCAACCAAAAAGCTTCAATGATTACAACAGTAAATGTAAAAAGAGACCAGCTAGGAATTTCTGTTATTATCTAGACGGACAAATCTTAACAAATCAAAACTCTCATGTTATGAAATTTTCAATGCAAATACAGAGGTTTGGCTTGGTCAAAACAGCTCTCTTCTAAAATTATTTTCAATATTTACCAATAGAGTCCAAGAGGTAAAAATAATCTGAGAGATCACTCACTCTAAATCGAGCTTTAGAGAAGTCACATTCGGAGAACCAACACTAGTTCTGTTAACTGGTATTAACTCCTAGATCCACCATGTGGCTTCTGAGGCTTCCTGGCTCATTCTCAAAAAGGAGCCCTTTAATTTGACAACCACAGCCCTACCACACCTGAATAAGCCCATAGTCCTTGTACACACTTAGGACAGAAGCTTTAATAGTTAAATGACATTTCACATACTGCAAGAGTGTTGCTTACTTATCTTAGATCCCACTTTGCATTTCCACCCAATCTTTCAGTTCAAATATGTGTAAATACTTCTCTCCCAATTTTTCTCCTTTTACTCTCGAGTATTTGTCTTTAAAATAAAAATACATCTTTCTCTCTTTTCACCTCTTATCCAATGTAAAAAAAAAAAAAAAAAAAAAAAAAAAAAGACAGAAAAAAGACCAAGAATTGCTCACTTCAGACCATTTCCATCGTCAAAGAAAAAATATTTTGTTTTCATATCTTTCAGCAGCAGCTTCGGATTATCACCTCTCAAAACAATCTTGTCCCACAGGACAACTTGGTTCAGAGCCTATATTAAAATGAAAATTAATTAGATAACTCATCAGAAATATTGTATCACTTCAAATTAAAAGTATTAGTAAGCAAATAGTTTGACATGTTAATGAATTCAACTTTGAGGTGCTTGCTGAAATCTTAATGCATACAAATGATAGCAAACAGATACAAAAAGGGGGCAAATTTTTCTCAGAGAGAAGAATGAAAATTCCCTGAAGAAATTCATTCCTTTTGCTAACTCAACTGTATTACTTAGGGCCTTCATAACTTAATATACGGTTTTTGATCTGTAAGATCTCCAAAAAGTGAGGCCTTTGGAGGAACAGATGAATTAAATCCCTGGAAGGGAAGTATTCTTTTCAATCACTTTTCCTTGTAAAATTTCTAAGACTCTCCAGCTCAGCACGGATCCTAAATGGTGCCAAGAAAACAGACAGAACCAATTCCTGTTCCATCATGCTGCTAATACAGGTTACTCTTGATTAATTACGTCATGAAAATTTCTAAGAAATTTTCCCCAAAATTTCTTTACAAAATTTTGAAGAAATGAAGAAATCCCTAAAGAAATGAAGCCTTCTAAAGAGCTTGTTTCCCTTTAATTTAAAACAAACAAACAAACAAACAAACAAAAAACATGCATCAGTTTCATCAGGCAAAATTCTAGAGGTCAATTATTTTAAGCCACTCTTTCAACATAAACAAGTTCCATTTAGAAAATGAAAAGCGTGAAATGGAAAGAAAACACATTTGTGGCCACTACTAAATCCCAAGGAATTTGTTCTCATTAAATTAGCATCTATTAGCTTGCAAGGCCAATTACTCAGTGTATGACGACAACATTCACTACAATGAAAGGTGGAGCAGTTATTTCTAAGAAAGTTCAAATCTACACTTTAAAGTTTGTTCCTAATATTAAACAGAAACATGAAAACTGAAGAAAACAGAAACAAAGATATGCTGAAGTGAAATAATTTTTATCACCAAATAATCTGTCAAATCTCAAATTAGTTTAACTTTCTAGTTATGCTAGGATAAATTTTAAGTATAAATTGTAAGAATAGCTTAGTAAGTATAGAATTATAAGTACGATGTAAGTATACCCATCATAAAGGTGACAATTATTTCAATACTTTGTTAAAACTTGTAGAATATGTGTATTTATAGATGTTGCTCTTCAAGAATAACTTTTTTAAGATTTTATTGATTCTGAAAGACTGGGATCAAAACTTATTCATGTCAATATTCCTAGTGCCTAAAAAACCTTGGCATAAAATGCATGCTTAAAATAAATGTATAATGAATTGAAGTCCTAAAAATTCCAGTTAGCTAATCAAACCACAAAACAGATAAAACTGATTGTGTCATTCGTTTCAAAGGATATAGTTCAAATAAAATAAAGAAGGTAGGCCCATCTTTAACTACAAATTAGCTCCAGACTACACTAATGACAAATATAAGGGAAACTCAGGTAAAAAACTGTGTATTTTAATTCTATAGATTTCACTCTCAGATTTTTAAGTCTACCACTTTATACCCTGATATCAACACTAAATTTGAACCTCAAAATATTTCTATAAATATTTGCACAATATTCTATATAAATATCTCCACCCCCTCATCTGCAACAAAAGCTCTCACTAGACTAACAGCTTTCAATCATAAATAGTTTTAATGTTTTGATATAACAGTTTAATAGCATCTAATTAAAAATTATGAATTATAATTTTGATTTTAAAAAACAGTTCAGGCCAGGCACAGTGGCTCACAGCTGTAATCCCAGCACTTTGGGAGGCCAAGGCAGGTGGATCACCTGAAGTGAGGAGTTGGAGACCAGCCTGGCCAACATGGTGAAATCCTGTCTCTACGAAAAACACAAAAAATTAGCTGGGCATGGTGGCAGGTGCCTATAATCCCAGCTACTTGGGAAGTTAAGGCAGGAGAATTGATTGAATCAAGGAGGCAGAGGTTGCAATGAGCCAAGATCATCCCACTGTACACCAGTCTGGGCAACAACAGTGAAACTCTCTCTCTCTCTCTCTCTCTCTCTCAAAAAAAAAACTAGTTCAAGTATTCAGATACTCAGATTAATGAATCCCATGTAACCCCAAAACAAACGCAAACTCTTCTCAATAGGTAGGGATATTAATTAATTGTAAGTATATGGCTAAGACTACCAAAACAGCTCACACCATGTTTTTTAAAAAGGAAAGTATCCGATAACTAAGATGGATTTTAAAATAATCTCAAGTTCAAAAATTATTAACAATCTTTACAGCTTTTGATTATGTATTTTCATGATGAGAATTATAATCACAGGTCTCAAATTTTGTTGATTCAAGTAAGTTACCATGTAGCTCTCTAATTGTAGCTGTGGAGACAGAGTATTTTAGCTTAAAGAACAAACCGCTGAGTAGCAATACTACCAGCTCCATTTCCTAGTTGTAGTTCAGCAGTATCTTTCCGATCTTACCACTGAAAGTGGTCTCCAATAGTTTCTGATCACAAATCCTTAAAATATGTTTTCACAAATTTTGTAGGTAATACACAGGCACTATTACTAATAGTATTGATAGTGTCTCAGCCAACTTATCATATCTACTCAGCTTGTCTTTGTGTTTTTTTTATCCTTTAGTGTGACACAAGCAGCTCAGAAGAGGAATACAACTGTGAGTTCCACCACTTTCCTATTGTTTATGTATGTAGGAATTATTAGCATTATCTTCAATCTGTGATTTCTTTGTAGAAATCTTTTTAAGCCACTTTTCCATTTTGAGAGGATTAACTAAAATCAGATAATATAATCCACTTATATATTGCATATACTGCAATGTTTTGCAACATGCTGAAAGCAAATAAAATAAATGCCAGGTAGCATGGTTAATTTCTTGACCTACAGAATTCCTCCTCTTCCTCCAGAATATCTGCATGTTGTAGAATGTGACCATCTATCTGACTTAAGGGCTCAATATAACTATTAACGTCAGTTTATAGAACAAGTATTAGTAAAGCTTCTCTTCTTTTTTTACTTTAAATGATTAATAGAAGCTCTTAATTATTTTCCTTACATACATGTATTACTTTGCATGGACTCCATTCTGGAGATCCCAGTGCTTGAGAGCTATAGAACGAACAGCAAAATAAAGGAACAGACTCCCAAAAGAGAGAACAGAGCTACCTCTCCACAGGCTTGTGATTTTTTGCTAGGTAACTTAGGTCAGGTATTTTAAATATATAAAATGTATATTCTTTCATAAAGAATAAAGCTTTAAATAACTATTAAAATACTTATAATTAGATATACTTACGTTATTTTTTGTTGAATATTCTGCTGATAAATAAAGAAACAACTGCTTAACATTCCAATCAAATATATTTTCTAGATGTAAGTAAATTAAGGAAAATATAAATTTATGAACAGCATATCCCTTTCAAATAGATCTTAATTATTCTTAGGTTATTTATCCCTAACAATAGTAACACTAAAGTAGAAAAAAAGGTGGCCCAGAAACATAATGTGCAACTAATTTAATAAAGATTTGCAGAAGATAAATATATTGTAAAATCCAGCTTATTCCAAAACCAAAAAATGTCAGCATGGGATTTTCTGCATCTTCCCATACTCTCTTATCAGTCAAAGTATCTCAGCTAGTAACCCTCCAAGTAATCCTTGGAGGGTTACTAGCTGAGATACTTTGATTGATAAAAGAACGAATCTAAAATCTGGTTTTCTGTAACATTATCCAAGTTAAAAAAAAAAAAAAAAAAGGAGTTAATATTTCAAACAAATACAATTCCACTGGAGCTCTAAAGTATACACCATCACCACTATTTAAATTTAACAATACGCAAACATAAATAAGGCTCAATAATTAACCAAGTATAATAAATTATACATGTCGTTTTTGGTCACATGCAAGTGGACATTAAAATGTCTCTCAAAAATGCAAATGACACCATCAATTCAGTTTCCCGAAGAGGACAAGAACTTCACCAGAATTAGTAAGACGGGTGCTGATACCAAGCAATAAGTGGAGTACTATGAGTTTCCATACTGGTAGCAACACATTTGTTACATTCCATTATTAATTATGTGTAATCACTAAGAATCACTTCTTTAGAACTGATAAATCTAGGACTGCTGTTTACAAGAACAAGTACAATTTTAAGTAGTAGTAGCAGCAGCATTAAGAAAATGTGAAGAAACTACAAATAATGAGATTGGTAATATATAAATACCATAGAAACCAGAAAATTTCATTATAATTCTCTAGATACACAAAATTACTACTCTCACAGTAGGCCCAAATTCCCTTGAGTAAATTTTTTTAAGTGACACAAAGACTTAAAAGTACACATATGAAATTTAGCATAAGACTTTTCTGATTTCCTAAAAAGGTCCCTACAGAACTAATTTTTAGTCTATTTCTAAATCCAATAATATATTAAACCTTAAACTGAAAGCAAATTTCATGGTCATAGAAAGACCATGAGAATTAGATAAATTCTCCAAGTATATGATCAGCTTTACTTTCACACAAGTTCAGACTGTTTAATCTCCACAACCATTTAAATCATGGGGTATTAAAAAGGTAGCTGAGATTAGGCTAGAAATGGCAGAGAACATTGCCACAATATTAACCTAAGGTCCTAAAAAAGACTAGCCTGGCCAAAATGATCAGAGTTGTCAAAAGATGGAAACTCTAAGTCAGGAGAAAATATTTAAATATCCCCACTAAAGAAACTCTTAATTGTTAATACTATCTGACTTCTATGAAAGTTTTTATAGAAAGAGTTATGATGGCAAAAAGCAACCAGTCTACCAATAATTTTGACACGATCTTTTGAATCATAACAGATGTTTTTTTAAATGTATGTTTCTCTCTGCTATAATAAAATATGGATATATTATTTGAAATTGTACATTAAATATTTACAGGCAGGCTGAGCATTGGTAACATTTTTCCTTCTTTTTCAAATGATCTAATTTTATTTTTTCTTTCTAAAAAACAGATTCGAACTCTCTTACATAGCTTTCAATCAATTTAACATATCCGTTAAGAATTTAAAGTATGTTCACACAACTACTCATGAAATCTACAAAGTTTTCTCAAAGTGTGACGGGGAAGTATTAACATTATTTTATTGATGAAAAAGGCACAGGAATTTCTGAAGTTTGGCTGATTGAATGATAGTCATAGTGTCCCCCAAAGCATTAAACAACACATATCTCATAATAAAACTACAGAAAAAGTAATAAAATATTTTCTTAAAGGATATCAGCAGTTATATCAAATGTGATAAATCCCAGATCGCTTCTTTCTCTAGGTCCGGTGAAATCTTCTACATTTTTTCTAGAGGTAAAGATAAAAGTTTTACCATTCTTCCAATAGAACATACAAAATTCATTAATTACTTAAAGAGAAAGAATATAGGTGTGTGCACAGGTGAAACAGTAATCCCACAAAGAAACAAGTAAAAACCAGAGAAACCTGTAAGTGTGAAAACAGGATAAACATTCTAATCCAATATGAAAGTAGGTCGTCAGCTAATTTCATTTATCTTAAGAAAACCCCAAACAAAACTCGGAGACAAAAACTGCTAAAAAGAATTGTAAATACTCGATGTACAACAATTTTGCAGAATGGGTATAAGAAAGCTACACATGACTACAAGGTGGTATGGAATACTGACAGAGGGAATTATTAATGGATGATATAGAAGTCACTCCCTTATCCGAGGTTTCACGTTCCGGTTTCAATTATCCGTGGTCAACTCTGTGTGAAAACAGGTGAGTCCAGCAAAATAAGATATTTTGACAGAAAGACCATATTCACATAACTTTTATTATAGTACATTGTTACAGTTGTTCTATTATGTTATTTTTAATTTCTTATTGTGTGTAATTTGTAAGTTTTATCATATGTAGGTATGTATGTACGGTATAGGAAAAAACCCAGTATATATAGGGTTTGGTGCTATCCGAGGTTTCAGCCATCCACTGGGGGTCTTGGAAGGTATACTTACCCCCATTTAGGGGAGACTACTGTAACCAGCTGCTATTTACTATTTAGTACGGGTCAGACCTACTGACAATATTTTTCAAAATTATTTCAAATAATTCTCACAATCTACCAATTAGGTATTACTTCCATCTTAAACAAAAGGAAATTAAGGCACAGAATGGTAAGAAACTTGCTCAAGACAGCAACAGCTAACATCTGTTCAGTGTTTAATATGCACCAAGCTCTCCTAACCCTCACAGGGCTGACAGTGGCAGCGCTGGTTTCCACCTAAGGTCTATTCGAAACGTCTAATAAACACCAGTAATTTTTAAAAAAGGGGGGGTAAAAAGAGGTGCGGGGAGAAGGCTCGCTATTTGATGACTGGCTTCTTGGTGATTCTGACAAAGACATAAATTAAGGTCAAAGAACTTGTTGGAAGATGGAATAGAGCAGAAAGGTATGAGAACGGGGTAGGGGGGATTGTTAGGGGGAAATACGGCTTATCAAGAAAAGAGTGCCAGAGAATAAAATCAAGGACCAAATAAGCAATAGCAAAAGGACAGTCATTTCGAATTGCATTTTTTTTTTTTTTTTTTGCGTTTCCGCAGATTTCTTCAAGTGGTTGGCACTAAAAAAAAAAAAAAAAAAAAAAAAAAAAAAAGAAGAAGAAGAAGAAAGAGAACCGAACGAAACAAAAACCCCGCTGTATCAGAAGGCTGAGATGCTTCATTCTCAGTGCCGAACATCTCCGGACAACTTCAAAGCAGCTGCTAAGTGTTTATTGCCTTCTGACGGTGCAAAGGCAACAACTGTAAAGGGAATGTCAAACAGGGCAAACTCGGGTGATGAATGACACAGAGACAACACCCTCCAGCGGCCTCCGGCGCGGCAGAGCCGCAGGGATCCCCGCGGAAGCCCGACCCCGAGCGCGGCGGCGGCGCCCGGCGGGCCTCGCGTGCGGACCCCCGGCGGCCTCGGACGCGCGGGAGGCGCCAGCCCGAGCGAGCGGCGGCGCGGGCTCTGCTGTTGTGTTGCTCCCTCATTGGCCAGGCGTGGGTGGAGGGAAGTGAGGAACAGGAAGCAAACGGAGGCACCGACCCGAGGAACGCTCAAAATGCACATTGAAGAGCAAGCCCGGGAACGGACGGTGGGGGGTGCGAGTTCCGAGGGGACGCCGGAAAAGCCCGCGAGGTGCACCCCTGACGACCGCCCTCCGGGGCGAACGGCCGCTCAAGGCGGCGACCCAGACGCCCTGCCCGCGGCCCCGGCGCGGCGGCCCGGCTTCGGCTCACCCCGCCGGCCCGGTCCGGGAGTCCTGCCCCGCCGGGCCGGCCTCGGCAGCACTCACAGCATGATCCGCGAGACGTGCAGCCGCACCGGGACGCTCCTGTCTTTGAAGGCGGTGGTGATGAAGCAGCCGAAGGTGAGCGCCGCCATCACGCTCAGTGAGAAAGCGAACAGCGAGTTCGCCCGCGACAGCACCGTGTTCATCGCGACAGCCTCCCACGAGCCCCGGCTCCACACGCACACCCAGGTTCCCGTTCCCGCGGCGGACCGGCTCCCTGCGATCCGCGCCGTCTGCGGTACGCGCGTTCCGGGAGCGCGCGCCGCCGCGGACCCGCCTCCTTTCCGGTCCTCCGACGTGAGCGCGCGCGCGCCCGCCTTCCGAAACACACCCACAGCGCGCAGGGACCGCGCGGAAAGGGAGCGACCGAGCCATAGGCCCGCCCCTCCGTCGCGGCCTTACGCCGCCACCAATCAGCGACGAGCGAGGGAGGGGCGGGGCTTTTCATGGACTACCCGCCTCCTCCTGTTCTCAGCTGCTCGTCCGACCCTTGGGTTCAGAGAATTGGGAACCGGTCGTTCGCTGTCCTTTTTCGGTTCTTTGGTCAGAGGTCTGGGACTGCGACTTTTTAATTACTTATGTGCCGTTTGTTTTCAGTTAAAACCAGCAGCAAGTTAAGGTGGTTTGGAATCTGTCCTGACGGGTGGCGTTTGCATGAGTACTTTACAAAACGGCTGTTTCCGCTCCCTTCTTTGTCAAACCTAGTCAAAGTTAGGACTTGAGCCTTTTTGGAGGATTTGGGGCGGAGTGGGGACGGGGGAACCGGACGCCCAGGTCCCTAAAGCTATCACGGGCATCAGAATTTCCACCTCCAGCGTCAGTCCAAATCCTATTAATGCTTTGCTTTCTAAAAATGTTTTAGAAGATAATGGTTGAGGCTACTGGTAGTCCTAAGTATTTGCATTTTAACGTGGTGATTTCTGATAACTAAAAGGATAACCTTCCTGGGTTCTTAGGATGAAAGGAGATAATGGCTGTGGAATTGCTCAGCAGCATAATGTATAAGAATTTCGTTAGGTCATTAATAAATAATGCAATTATTTTATCACATTTTCAATACCCTGATGGATTCAAACCTACCCAATCCCTGACTCTGATTATACTGTCTGCCAAAACCGTTGTTCCTTTCACAGCTTAGGATTCTTATAAAAATGGATTCAGAAGGTCTCCTGAAATTAATTTTTCAAAAAATTTCAGTCCATAAACCGAAACAGGAACATCTGTCCTAGAATGTGATTAGGAACAGACCAGAAAATTGTGAAGATCTGACCTTGATACTGGCTTATGTTGTCTCTTGTTGAGCTTTTGCTTCTTTGCATTATTTATTACCATTCTATTAATTTTTTTGTACAGCCGTACAGGTAGGATTGTTACTAAGTGCCTACCGTGTGCCAGGAATAGTTCTAATGGGGGGAGCAGTCGGCATGCTTTGTCAGCACTTGAGTGGATAGTGATTAGTTGGGGAAGAGATGCCTAACTTTATTTCTGAAGGATAGAAAGAAACCTAGAATATATGTAAAGTTTTGATCTTCTTATTTGCAAATAATTATTCTTCAATAACACCAAGCTAAGAAGAGTTAGAACAATAAATCACTTTATGAAGAAATCTTTAAATAAAGCTGTGTGTACATGGACAGATAATGCTGTTTAAAAGGGGGATAAACTTACTTATAATAAAAGCATTTTTTTTTTTTTTTGAGATGGAGTTTCTTGTTGCCCAGGCTGGAGTGCAATGGCATGATCTCTGCTCACTGCAATCTCTGCTTCCCTGGTTCAAACAGTTCTCCTGCCTCAGCCTCCAAAGTAGCTGAGATTACAGGCACCCACCACCATGCCCAGCTAATTTTTTGTACTTTTAATAGAGAAGGAGTTTGACTATGTTGGCCAGGCTGGCCTTGAACTCTTGACCTCAGGTGATCCACCCGCCTCGGCCTCCCGGCCTCCCAAAGTGCTGGGATTATAGGTGTGAGCCACCATGCCCAGCCAATAAAAGCGTTCTAATTAAATATGTTGTTACTGGGAATATCCAAACAGTCCAGGAAGCATCAAGCTCCCCAAGGAAGTTCCTGCAATGGAGCATGTTATAGATCTAACACATTAAGGACTCAAATGGTTTTCAGAAAGTGACTATGAATTATATCGTCCATCATAGAGAGTGGGGATCAATTCTTGTTCATTTTTCTATCTCTTTCAGTGCCCAGGACACTGAACCTTGCACATAGTAGATGGTCAAGAAAATTCTTACTGAATTGAGATATCTTGAAATCATAGATCATGATATTTTTGAAAGAATTCTTGTAGAAAGCATACATTATCACACACAAGTAACAAACAGTTAAAGTGTAAATGGTAAACATGGTAATGTGTAAAGCTAAATTTTATATGTAGGCCAAGGACAAATTGTAAAAGGCTTATGTTCCAGGCTAATAAGTTTGATCATAATTCACAAGACAATAATGAGCTTTTGAGTATTTTAGATCAGCTAAGTGTCATTACCATGTAGGCTCTCCGTAAATAAGTAATTTCTTTGAGAAGGATGAGAGTGCCAGTTGCTAGACCAGGCCAGAGATTATTGCATAAGTTTTTGTTACCGTTGTTGTTTTGAGGGTACTTGCTAGGTTAATTCAAAGATTTATAGTCACTCAAGACTGGTAAGTAGACTATTCCAATGTGATAATTCCAGGAATGCTATGTTTGTGAATCTCCTTAAAGAATAAAAAAAAGATTCAGAAGGAAAAACAGTTTTTGCCTAATATGTACCCAAATTCCAGACTCTCAGAAGGAAAGCTGGGACATTGTGTGCAGGTGTTTGGCATAAACCACATTCTGGACAGTTAGTCACAGTGAGCCACTCTTATCACTTAGGGAAAGTTTCCACTCAGTGCAGGGAACAGCTTACCAGCCACATTCCCAGACACCAGCCAAAGGCCAACCTTGCAAACAGGTCTTTCTAAGGCTAGTTATCTCACGCCTGTTGCAGTAGCTTAAAAACATTGCTTTCAGATCATTTTATTTTTGTTGAAAGCTTTTTTAAGAATGATTCATATGGCACATAAGGAAATTTAAGAATATATTTTAGGGGCCGGGCGCGGTGGCTCAAGCCTGTAATCCCAGCACTTTGGGAGGCCGAAGCGGGTAGATCATGAGGTCAAGATATCGAGACCATCCTGGTCAACATGGTGAAACCCCGTCTCTATTAAAAATACAAAAATTAGCTGGGCATGGTGGGGCGTGCCTGTAATGCCAGCTACTCAGGAGGTTGAGGCAGGAGAATTGCCTGAACCCAGGCGGCGGAGGTTGCAGTGAGCCGAGATCGCGCCATCGCACTCCAGCCTGGGTAACGAGAGCGAAACTCTGTCTCAAAAAAAAAAAAAAAAAAAAAGAATATATTTTAATTTTTATTACCATATATTTCCTTCATTTATATTCCTTTTTTAAATATTAAGTTTACCTACTCAGCTCATATCCCTTTAAACAGAACTATTTTATTCACTCAGTACACCACAGAGAACTTATAAAAAGCCCACTGTCAGCCACAGCCGTCTATGTTTCTCCAAGCAGCTTCTCTTGCATACTTTTGCGCTCCCACCACTGTCACTCTTTTGCATCTTGGCTTTTCACTCTAGTTCTTCATTCCCATTTCATGCCCTCCTTTCTCAGACTTGCTATTTGAACCTAGCTGTCGAACCGCTGTTTCTGGCCCACCTGTAGGCACTTGACCCTGAGCTTGCTTGAGAAGCTCATGTATTCATAACTGTCTGCTCCATATGCACTTGTCAGAATCATTTATTGAGCATCCTTAAGAGCAGAGCCAGATATGATACCAGAGATCATTGGTTTCTGAGAATCTATACCTCACCCTCCCAAGGAAAATGGTCAAGAAGCCCTTCCACATTCTCTAGACAGTCAAGGCCATCCAAAAGTTATTGGAATTCTTTGAATGATTTTAGCAGTTAATATCCAGCTTCTCTGCTTATAGTATCTGGACAACTATCTTTTTCAGGAAACTGAGAGAGTTTGCTTGGCTCCTATTGAAGCCTGTGACATCCTTGTAGTTAAAAAACATAGTAGGCCGGGCGCGGTGGCTCAAGCCTGTAATCCCAGCACTTTGGGAGGCCGAGGCGGGTGGATCACGAGGTCGAGAGATCGAGACCATCCTGGTCAACATGGTGAAACCCCGTCTCTACTAAAAATACAAAAAATTAGCTGGGCATGGTGGCGCGTGCCTGTAATCCCAGCTACTCAGGAGGCTGAGGCAGGAGAATTGCCTGAACCCAGGAGGTGGAGGTTGCGGTGAGCCGAGATCACGCCATTGCACTCCAGCCTGGGTAACAAGAGTGAAACTCCGTCTCAAAAAAAAAAAAAAAAAAGACATAGTAAATTTTTCTGTCTTCTTGGCCTTTTCTGACTCACCCAACAAACTCACTGCTGAAACTATATCTCTAATATGCTATCGTGAACATTGGTCACCAGACATCCCAGGTTCTAATTTGTATCACTGAATTTTCATTTTACAGAAACTAGTCCCAGCTGAGGTTATGGACCTATGAAATCACTACCAATATAAATGTTGACTTTAGGGAAATACCACTGTGTGAAGTCAGGCTAATCCCCATTGGGATAAGTAAAGCTCTAGAATAAATAAGATCCAGAAGTTAAGGTCCTATGTGGTGAGTTAACTATCTTGAGTTTGTTTGTTTGTTTGTTTGTTTGTTTAGATTATAGGAACATTTCTGGATTCCCATTTGCAAACAAACAACTATATCTGAAAAAGAAACAAAAAGGGAAAATTATTGTGGGGACAGTGTAGAAAAGAGTTAACATAACAAACCTGAGCTTCTTTTCTTAAAAAAGACCTGCTTGCAAGGTTGGGCCCTTGGCTGGTATTGGGGAACTTGGCTGATAAACGGTTTTCTGCACTGATAATAAAACTTTCCCTAAATGATAAAAATGGCCTAAGCTGTTTGAGGAGCAATGTGTTTTATGCCAAACACCTGCCTTCCTTCTGGGAGTCTGGAATTTTGGTATATGTTAGGCAGAGGGTGCTTACATTGCCACCCCTCAATGAAAACCTTGAGAACTAAGTAATGAGCTCTCCTGGTTGATAACGTCACACATATTGTCGCAAGTCTATTACTGGAACAACTGAGCACATCCTGTGTGACTCCCTTAGGGCTCTTGGAAGTGTGTGCCTGGTTTCTTCCAAACTTCTCTTCATGCACCTTTTTCCCTTTGCTGATTTTGTTGTATATTCTTTAACTGTAATAAGCCTAACTATGAATATGATTATGTATATTTAATCCTGTGAGCCCTTCTGGTGGGATGGTCTTGAGAACCCTAAACACAAGGACTAGCTCCCATTTCATGCATTTTCATATTCAGAATGTCTTAAGGATATCTGCAGAGCATAGGGAAACTTAGCCCCATTCTTTTCTGTAAGGGGAAGGGTATTATTATTATTTTTTAATTCTATTAGTCATTTCAGTCTTTTGTTCTGGATGCTATACTGCTCACACATTTTGACCTGCTGTACCTCAGTTTTATTCTGCC